TATATATATATATATATATATATATATATATAATTGTACTATATGTATTATATATGTTGGTACCTATAGGTAATAACAATATGCTCTATATGCATTGTATTATGTGTGTATTGTACATACACACACACACACACACACTCTCTCTCTCTCTCTCTCTCGATGGGCTGTGAGTGGTTTGTGGAACTGCTTTTTTTTAGCTGGCGGACTGAGGGTCCCACTGTGGGAGAGAGGGCATTACTGTACATCTGTCTCATTCCCACGGCAACACACAGACACACACACATATGTGTCTATACAGCATGCTTTAATCCCCCTCAGCAGAGTACATTCACACTGAGATTGAACATACAGGAAGATCGGCACAGTGTGTGTGTGTGTGTATGTGTGCGCGTGTGTGTGTGTGTGTGTGTGAACTGTGATATACACTGCAAATACACATGAATGAAAGAGTGAACAAGTGCTTCAGAGAGGGAGAGAGTGGAAGAATGTGAGAAAAACTGAAAGAAGGAAAAGGAAGAAAAGAACAAACAGAGAGAGAGAGAGAGAGAGAGAGAGAGAAAGAGAAAGAGAAAGAAAGAATGAGAAAGATAGTAAGAGGAGAAAAAAACGAGGGAAAGAGAGAAATAAGAAATGAAGATAAATCAACTGATGCATGAAAGAAAGAAAGAAAGAAAGAAAGAAAGAAAGAAAGAAAGAAAGAAAGAAGAGAGAGAGAGAGAGGAGGGGAGAGTGTTAAAGAGTCAGAGTCAGAGTGAGAGAAAGTGAGAGAGAGAGAGAGAGAGAGTTTATGTGTTTATTCCTCAGGGGAAGCCGCTGAAGCGACATATGGTGCTGAATTTGCCATGCGTCCTGACCTAGATTACTGCGATCCTGTGCACCAACTTCACACTGTTTCTGTGTGTGTGTGTGTGTGTGTGAGAGAGTGTATGTGTGTGTGTGTGTGTGTGTGTGAGAGTGTATGTGTGTGTGTGTGTGTGTGTGTGTGTGTGTGTGTGTGTATTGTGGAATCTGGAATCCACTTACACTCTAATCTCTAAAAAAGACACAACAGCAGCAGTAAAGCTACGTAGCCCTGCTCTTCCTCTCCGAGCCAGTATTAAAGCTCCAAACAGACAGACTGCTCAGCTGATCTCCTCCACAGCGTAAGCAGGGCCTGCGCTCTCTCCTCTAATTTCAGTGGTGCAAAATGTGCAAACCACCAAAAGAGAGCCTCGCCAGCCGAATTAACGCACAAAGGCAATTAATTATGTAGGACAGTGAAGTTGCCTCTGGCTCTCCACACTGCTGGAGCGAGCACATGTCTCCGTTTTCTGTGTCACTAACGATAGGTTCCTTCACACGGTACCCAGCACTCATTTTACTTCACCAAGTAAATAAATAAATGAATAAATAAATAAATATATAGATTTTATATGTATTTAGATATATATATATATATATATATATATATATATATATATATATATAAAATTTATTTATCAATTTATTTTATATATACTTATTATCCATGTCCCTGTCTCCTTATATAAATCTATTAACATTGTTCATTAAAACTACACAGAAAAAAACACTCAAAATATCTTGTTTGTTCTTTATGTAAATATCTATTCAAAAAATACATATATAAAATAATAAATATTTCAAAAATATTTTTTACATTTTCAAACAAATATAAAATATGCTTTTGTGGTCATTGTTAAAATGTTAAGAAATTTTTTAACACCAAAATATTTTAATAATAATAATAATAAAGTTTTAATGATAAAACATTGTACAGACATTAGTCTTTAAAACTATACATATATTATAATTTTTAAAATATATATTATTTATTGTATTAAAAATGTGTAAAATATATATATATATATATATATATATATATATATATTTATATATAATTTTTTATTCAATATATTTTTGAGTAAAAGAGAAAAAAACGTTCAAAATATCTTGTTTGTTCTTTGTGTAAATATCTATTAAAAAATACATTATTTTTCAAAAAGATTTAAAAAAATTTCAAACAATGAAATGTTTTATATTTTTTTTTAAATATGCACAGTTAAACCATTAATGAACATTAATAAATGTATTAACACCACAAAAGATTTAATATGAATAATAAAGTTTTAATTATAAAACACTGTACTGACATTCTTCATTATAATTACTTATATATAATACTACTTTAAAAAATATGTATCATTAATAATTTTTAAACAGTGTAATACATATATTTAAAAAATATTTGAATTATTTTAATTAATTTTAAGCAAAAGAAAAAACACTCAAAATATCTTTTATCTAAGAAGTTTTTTCTTCTTTTTGTAAATATCTACTTAGAAAATACATATATTAAATAATTTATATTTCAAAAATATTTAGATTTTCAATATTTTGTAGTTTCGTGGTCATAGTTTACACGTTAATGAACATGAATAAATTACTAACACCATTAAAGGTGTGTATATATAGAATTCTGGGTAAAAGGCGCACTAATGCTATAGCATAAGGCGTAAACACCACATTACACAGGACTACATACTGAGTGTGTACAGAACAGAAAACAGCAGAGGAAGGGAGGACAAGTGTACCAGTTGAAGGACAGGTGAAGGGACAGATGTTCCATCCAGCTCTCACTCTACGTCTCGCCGTCACCAGCATCTGGGAGAGTGGGTGAACCTGCGCACACAGCTGTCTCTACATCGCTGATCACCATCAGCTCTCTAACAAAGCGCTTTAGGGACGGAAAGGAGTGATGCAGAGGAAAGTGATCCAGGATAATAGTCCCCAAACTTACTCACACGCTTGAATCTGTCTCACATCACCAGAGCTCAGGAACAACTGTCTCCCTTGTTCATCAAAGACACGTAAAAAACAGCGCAGATTTGACCGCCTTCAGTGACTTATGAAGACTGAGATCTGATTAAGAGGTCTGCACTCCTGTGGGATTCCCACCGGACCCATGGGAGCCACCACAGTATCTTGAGCGTGGGACTAATTTTCAGTGTTCAGTGTGGATGGGAGCGGGCGGGTAAACAACCCACTCCAGGTGGGAACGGGGCAAAGCACGACGGCCACAGCTGCCAAGCAGAACACCAAAAATAACTGCTCTGTGGTTTAATTCCTGCTCTGTGTTTACTGGGAATAAATGGCGTTTGGTGAAGTTGCTTTACAGTGAGCCTGATGACCATGACTGCTGTGTTATTTCAGCAGAGGATAATGAACATGTCAGTTCACCCTGACAGAACTGTGCGGGTGGGAGCAGGACTAAACGCTTCGGTTGCGGGTGGAAGCGGGACAAATGATTCCGATTTTCTGCCGGAGCGGGCTCAGATCTTGCAGGAGCGGACGGAAGTGGGACTGAAAAAACAGTCCCGCACAGATTTTTAGTCTAATTCATGAAACTTTCGTACGACGTGGAAACAGGTGGAGGTTAAGGCGCTGAACTAGTTTCCGTGCTTGATATCAAGTGCCAGCCTACCAGGATCTCTTTGACATATCATAGACATACAACATGCCCTAATTAATGCGGATGTAGGGAGCCAATAAAATGACAGGCAATGGCTGTGCTCATAGACGGAGTTTAGACCAAGCAGTGAGCGCGCTGCTCCCCCTACTGACCAAACTTTATAGTGATAAAATTACACCAAATATTATTTTTCAGTCATTTGACTGAGGGTGCCCAAACTTTTGCGCATGACTATATACATTTTGACCCTCAGACCATCACAAATCTTACACTTTACCTTGAACAGCGTTGCTCAAATTTTTGTGTACAACATTTGGGGAAAGAAGTCACCCCAAACAAAGGGCAAAAAGCCCCTTTTAGCTTATTGCTCGTAAAATATAATTTGGTTCTATTTTAATCAAAAAGAAACAAATTTGTTGACTGGAGATTTGCTGAATAGCTAGCATTAGCATTATGTTGTTAGCTAGCATTTAGCTAAAATAAGGCAACATTTTTAGGTGTCTTGCTGAAAATAGTACAGTTAAGCTGTTATAATAACAATATAATAACATTATAGTCTTCAGTTTCCTAACGGAATGAAAAAAAACACTTTTATGTTGTAGTCAGGCAGAAAATTAATGTTGCCATATGGCAACACCATTCAGTAGAGGGTTAAACAGTAGCTTGGGTAACATTTTGAAGAGTCTCTCTAAGAGTTCAGACTTTCTTGACATTATAAGCCTTTTTTCAGACCCAGATTAATAAATCTAAATCCAGATTAACAGAGATTTTCAAGAATGAATCACTGTTAGCTTTGTCATATTTTCTGCAGTTTGCTTGAATCCATACTAAGGAAACCACTGCTGTATGTCTCATACATGTCTAGAGACGGTAAATATCCCTCCATCATGAGGAACAAGGACACACATGAGCCTAAGGTCACAATGCTCAATGCCAAGTGTGGGCTAGAGGGGTATAAAGCCCCCCAGCATTGGGCTGTGGAGCAGAACTGTGTTCTCTGGAGTGACGGAGCTCCATTCAATACCTTTGGGTTGAGTCGGAGAACCAGAACTGATCACCCAACATCAGTACCTGACCTCAATAATGCTCAATCAAATCCTCACAGTAATGTTCCAACATCTAGTGTAAAGCCTTACAATAAGAGCAGAGAACCAAAACACAATCTGTAGGAAGATACAATTTTGCTATCATGCATATCAGTCTAGAAACTATGGGTATATGGAAAATGATAACGTAGATTTGTTGCCATATGGCAACACCATGTGAAATGCAATCTGTAGTGCATACAATGGGATCTTTTATGCCTATGTGTGTGTGTCCTATTGCAGAGTACAGGTTAACTCTCACTGTATGCACTACAGATTGCAGCCCCACTGATTAACGGTATAGCCATATGGCACCAAAATGCAAAGTACCCCCAAAATAATTCCTGTGTATTTCATAATCCATGCAGTAAAGGGTTAAACAGTTAAAGGGTTAATAGGTTAAAGCCTTTGTGGTACAACGGTAGCACGGCTAGTGCGGTCATTACCATGCTAGTGTCCAGCTGACTCTTCCCTGGCATGCCGTTGGTCAGCCTGTCGGTGAGGTGGTCCAGTCTCGTGCTTTCTTGTCGGTACCTCTGGATGTCTTCTCCTAGCATGCTCAGCAGAGCGACGAGGGCTTGCTCTCGAAAGCGTAGGCACTCAACGTGGGCCGCTTTACCCACAATGCACCTAGGCAGCTCACGCTTGTTCCCTGAGAAGCACTGAGAGTCAAAGAAAAAGAGTGGCCAGTGAGTGGAAGTACAAGGTGGGTGTTTCTAATAAAGTGGCCACTTAGTGGATGTACAATGTGGGTGTTTCTAATAAAGTGGCCCCTTAGTGGAAGTACAAGGTAGGTGTTTCTAATGAAGTGGCCATAAGTACAAGGTAAGTGTTTCTAATAAAGTGGACAGTGGTTTATCTATGCTGTATCAATTTAACATACTTACAGTACAAGTCTCTGTGTTTGTGCTCTTTTCAGCCTCTGTCTGCAGAGTCTCTGGACCTGGTGTATCACAGCACAAGATTTTCTGCTGTAGCTGCACTGACCTCAGCCTAACACACACACACACACACACACACACACACACACACACAATCACACAAACACACAGGTAAAGATTAAGTTTAGTGAGAATGTAAGTCTAGAAATCTGTGTACAAAGGTCAAAGCAATGGAAGCTAAACAGCTTTAAAAAGCCATAAATGTGAATCACAGTGATTGTGCTGCCTCATCTTGTGTAAGACGCTTCACACATTCTTGACTGCAATGCATGAGTCCACCACTAGAGGGAGGTGTGCACTCGTCTGCTCATTGGTTCAGTCCAGCAGACAAATAAGTGAAAAACACTGCATATCTGAACTTGACTGAAAACAACAACAACATTTGGGGGAAAAAATAAAAAAAATAAAAATAAAAAAACATTCTTCTATGATAAGCAATATGAATGATTGAGAGAGAGAGTGAGAGACAGAGAGAGAGAGAGAGAGAGAGAGAGAGAGAGAGACACTTATGGCTATAATGATGGGCACTGAAATGACCAAGGTAACCAGACAGGGCTCTGCTGTAGAATTGTCATCACTGTAAGGTTTTCCTGACTAAATAAACAGTAAACACATAAATTACTGCAAACTGAAAGAGAAAAGTTAAAAAGTACAGGACGACATCAAATGAAAATTTCCAAAAACTGCTAAAGATTTCAACATATCATAATAATATACCAATATTTTCTTAAATATATCTACTACTTCTAATATCTGTACATAAATAAAGGTCCCATATTCTCCATTATTATTTTCTAAGTTTTACATACCAAAACAGTTATATTTCAGTAACTTTATGGCCTCTTTTTATCCCTGACATTTAAACCTGCTGTATCTTTAAGGCTGATGGATGTAAATGAGGTCTGTTCTGATTGGCTGTCCAGCATCTTGCCTCATTCAAGGAGCACTGAGAGCTGAAACACTCCTTATAACTTCAGGGTGAGTGGGTGGAGCTAAACTGCTGTAGGTCAATCAGGCAGATATTTATAAAAGCATTGTTTTTTGTGACATCACAAAAACAGTGAAATCAGAACAGGCTGTTAAAATGAAGGTAAATTTGCTGTTTCATGAAATGGGCCCTTTAATTCTATCTAAGACACAAAAAATATGTTACATAAGTTATGAGTTACAAAAGTTTATTTGTTTGAAGTCATTTAATCTACTGCAACTGTTTACACTGGCAGATATACTTGTTTTAAAGGGGAATTCCACTAATGTTTTGCAAAATTTCCCCATAGTTCAGTGTGTGAGATGTAAACAGAGTGATTCAGAGCCATGATAGTGATAGGAAGCAGGGGTCGCCATGACTACAACACAAATATAGACATTTTATTTACAATCCAAAACCACCAGTGAACCTACACGAGTCTTCTGAGTTTATATGGGATGTTGATGATGAGAAAATAGTCATAAATCTGAAAAACATGTACCCCATTGCCATGAACAGCTTTTAAAAATGACATTTCAGCTAAAAACTAGCATCAAACAATGTCTCAGGCATCAGGCAGCATATTTATAATAATTTTATGTCATAACTTTATGTAAGAGAGTTTAAACTGACTATAATTTTAACAAATCTTTGACAAAAGATTTTACGAAGCCCACACGCTCCAAACTGCCCACATGTACTGATGATACAGCAGCGTGCAAAACAAATAACATTATTAGAAAACAAAAAATATTAAATATTAAAAGGTGCCATAACTTTTGCACAGGCCGCATATTGTGTTTCATTTTGTGCCAGTATATTAAATTCAGCAAATAAACAGTAATTGTGTGTTAAAATGTGCAGATGTCACTAAAAATGATGGTTCTTTGGTTACGAAAGTGGTTCTATCTAGAACCATGAACACTCAGAGAACCCTCTGCATGATTAAATGGTTCTTTGCATCGTTAAATGTTTCTTCTTCAGATTAATGGAGAATGTGCTGTAAATGGTTCTATATAGAACCTTTTTGAAAATATATAGCACCAAAAAAGGGTTCTGGTATTGTTACAATGTCAAATTGTAACAATAGAAGAACCCTTTTTGGTGCTATATAGAACCCTTTTCAAAAAGGTTATATACAGAACCATATACAACACAATCTGAAGAACTATTTCACCATGCAAAGAACCGTTTAAGCATGAAATGGTTCTATACAGAACTCATGACGGTGCACTGACCTTTCCCATCAATCTGAAGAACCATTTCACCATGCAAAGAACCATTTAAGCATAAAATGGTTCTATACAGAACACCTTAGCAACCACCTGGGATAACATAGCAATGTCTTAGCAACATCCTAGCAACAACCTGGGATACCACAGCAAAGGCCTATTTGCACCTTGGCAACCACCTGGGATAGCAACACCTTAGTAACCTCCTGGGATAATATAGCAAGAGCCTAGTAACACCTTAGCAACCACCTGGGATACCATAGCAAGGCATAAAATCTTAGAACTCTTGACAGAGGCTTGACCTTTTCCATCAGTCTGAAGAACCATTTCACCATGCAAAGAACCCTGTATTCATGCAAAGGGTTCTTTGAGTGTTCACTTATTTTGACTTAGAAAATCATCAAAACATCAAATCTGACTTTTGTCCACAACTGTATACATGGAAAACACAAGACCAACAGGCTAGTTAGCTGTTTTGGCCCCCAGCCCACCACAAACACTTCAACACCGCCCACCCCCCACACACCACACACACACACACACACACACACACACACACCACAGAAAGTTTGGGCGCCCACATTTTAGAGGCATTAAACTCTTTGGACGTCCGGTTCCTATCACCACCACTGTGAACAATTCTGACTGACTAGAACAGAGTGTTTCACACCAAACCACTCTGAACGACTCTGTTTACATCTTCACCATCTAATTATGCAGAAATTTTGAAAATTAGGTGGACTTCTCCTCCTAAAAGGTACAACAGTCCACATTGTGATTGTCTAGCAAAGCGGGGAATTTGGATCAGGCTGGTGTAGAACAGTCATGCCTGCGTTTCTCCGTGGACAGACGAGAGATTAAAAGTGCCACTGTCACGCTGTGAGAAAGCAGATCCTGATTAGGAAATAGGATGAAATGTGATAGGAGTGGTATGAGGGAGAGAGAGAGAGAGACAGACAGAGAGAGAGAGAGAGCAGATGTGTTGAAATGCAGCTGCATAAGCTCATGTGAAACATTCCGTCGCTGTTAAACTCTATACAAAGGGCAGCGTGGGAAAGTGGAGGCTGTATCTGATTCATACACTGCAAAAAAATCATATCTTGGCGAGTGGAATCATCTTAAATCTAGTCACAATATTTCACAGATTGTTGTATGAAATTAGAAGTTAACCTATTACTGTTCTTCATTTTATTACTCTGTGGTTTTATTTTTTACTGTTTCCACCAGTCACAGTCTGTGAGCTAGAACCACAAAACCTGCCAGGATCGTAGAACCTTCTACTTTTGGGACTGATCGCTGTTCGTTTTTCGTAAAGCGGTCATTGAAACACAGCTTTTTTCCCTAGCAACTACCTGGGATACCATATTAGCAGCATAGCAACACCATAACCATTTGGGATTATATAGTGGCAGCTTAGCAACACCTTAGCAACCACCTGGGATACCACAGCAGAGGCCTAGTAGCACCTTAGTAACCACCTGGGAAAATACAGCAACGACCTGGTTGCACCTTAGCAACCACCTGGGATACCATAGCAAAGGCCTGGCAACATCTTCGCAACCACATTAGATAATAAAGCACCAACCTAGTAGCATCTAAGTAACCACCTGGGGTATCAGCAACGGCCTAGCAACACCTTAACAACCCCCCTGGATACCATGGCAATGGCCTAGCAACACTTTAGCAAACACCTTGGATAATACAGCAACAGCTGTGTAGCACCTTAGCAACCACCTGGAATAAGACAGCAACAGCCTAGCAATATTTTAGCAACCTCTCGGGATACCATAGCAATAGCCTAGCAACACTTTAGCAATCCCCCCCAGATACCAAAGCAACAGTCTAGCAACTCTTTAGCAACCCCCCTGGATACCATAGCAACAGCCTAGGAACCATTTAACAATCCTCTTGGATACCATAGCAACAGCCTAGCAGCACCTTAGCAACCACCTGGGGTAACGGCAATGGGTTGGCAACACTTTTGCAACCCCCCGGATACCATAGCAACAGCCCAACAACACCTTAACAACCCATCTGGATACCATAGCAACAGCCCAGCAACACTTCAACAAACCCCCTGGATACCATAGCAACAGCCCAGCAACACTTTAGCAACCATCTGGGATAACATAGCAATGACTTAGCAACACTTTAGCAACCCGCCTGGATACCACAGCAGCAGCCTAGTAACACCTTAGCAACCCCCCATGCATACCATAAAACTAAAAAACACTTCCTATAACACTGTTTTATTTACAGTGAAGTTGAGGTCATGACCTTACAGTCCGGACTCCGCCCACCGCCCGCGCCCCTCCGTCTCACACTGATTAAGCAGAAGCGTCTGAATCTGCTGATTCAGCGAGAGTGCAGCGTCCACTGAAGGACATGGAGGACCAGCGAGATTTCAGACACTCTGGTCTTTCGGTTTTTCCCCGAAGCGCAAGTGGAGGAAGAGCAAAGACGGCTGAAGGAGACAAACTGACCAGAGGACAAAAACACAACGGTCAGGAGGTCAGAGGGAAGCAGCTACTGAGAAAAAACAACAAGATCCTGAGACCAAGAATCCACCTTTCAGCAGAGAGAGAGAGAGAGAGCGAGAGAGAGGAAAGAGACAGAAACAGGGAGAGAAAGAGAATGAGAGAGGAAAGAGAGGAAGAGAAAGAGTGGAGAGAAACAAAGAGAAGAGAAGAGAAGAGAAGAGAAGAGAAGAGAAACAGAGAGAGAAGGAGTGGAAAGAGGCAGAAATGGAGAGAGTGTTAGAGAGAGAGAGAGAGACAGAAAGTGGAAAGAGACAGAAGCAGGGATAGAGAGAGAGTAAGAGAGGAAGAGAAGCAGAGAGAGAGAGAGAGAGAG